GGGAGGGAGGGAGGACTTTTTAACAAGGTGAGTATGCAGTATCTCTGGGACAATCATTTCGAGATGAGGTTACTGGACAGCTAGGAACATAAATGTTAGGGGAGAAGCCCAGAGTAGGCAGGGTAGGGAGGAAGGTTTGGAACATCATCAGTGGGTGGTTGAGAGTGGAAGCTTCAGAAGTGAGAGAATGAAAGTGAAAAGCAAATAATGTCTTGGTATCATTATGACTATCATTTTGACCTTGTGGACCCATGGAAAGGACCTTGGGAATCCCCACGGGTTTTTAAACCACACTTTGAGAACCGATATCCTAGCTGCACAGTTCTTACAGGCCTGTTTTTGTGTGTGTGTTTTTTTAAAAAAAAATCTTTATTGATTTGAGAGAGAGAGAGAGGGAGAGAGAGAGAGAGAAAAACATCAATGATGAGTCATTGATCGGCTGCCTCCTGCACGCTCCCGACTGGGGATCGAGCCTGCAACCTGGGCATGTGCCCTGACCAGGAATCGAACCCGATCACCTGGATCCTAGGTCAATGCTCAACCGCTGAGCCATACCCGGCTGGGCCAGGCCTGTTTTAAAATTCTCTTCTGAGTGAAGAAACTCATCTCACACCCAACTCAGGCCTCCTCAGTCTCAGAAGTAACACATTTGCAAAAGGTAAGGGTGTCACTCACCCTCACGGCCTTCCCCGTGAACACTGAGCCAGTGGCACTGCTTTTGAAGGCTCTGGTCTGGTTCAGCTTGAGAAGCCCTTTGTGACACTGTAAGGCAATTCGGGCTGTCACCCCTGAGCCAGTAGGACTTCTGTCAACCTGTTTCAGAATAAACGAAGGTAAGAGTGTTCATGGTGCTCCAGTTTCACATCACACGCTTTTGTGCCTAAAGATTACAGTTTTAATACCTGCTCATCTGCAAACACACAAATGTTGGTGGTTGGCTCCTCACTATAAGTGTCTTTTCCATCTGTTAATATGGTTCCATAGAGAAAGGCAAGGTCTTCACTGTCAGGATGAGTAATTTTAAACTGCAAATAACAAAAAATTATCAACTCCATATAAAATAAATATTTTGATTAGAATTTATATTTTAAATAACAGATATGAGGCACTCTTAGACATCACTTTTCCATCTTTATCATTTTTAAAACACCTTTCAGGTCAAGGCAGTAAATGCTAGAATGACACCTTCGTCCCGATGAACAGACAGTTTTATCGGAAGTTGTGATTCTTACCCTTTGAGTCCCTTCCTAAGGAAGTTGCCCTGCGTAGTCTCTACTAAAGGTACAGTCCTATTCTATACACACCCCCTAAGCAACGCACACTCTTTGGAGCACTGAGCCCAGGCTGGCCAGGCCACAGGCTGGCCATGGCTGCTCAAACAGGAAGAGCTCGGGCAACCATATCCTCACTCCCAGGAGCTTGAAGGGGATCACATGGAAAAATGAGGCAATGAGCATCTAGAGCTGAAGTTAATACCATTGATAGAGACAAAGGCTGTGAGAGGCCAGGAGCAAGCAAAAGTTACAGGGCTGCAGAAGCTAGTAGGTATGAGAAACAACTGGATGGAAAAAAATGACTTCTTATAAAGAATGAAGTCAGTCGGTATCATGAAAAGCAGCAGATACAGAGAGAAGCGGGCACTGGCTGGGTAGCTAAGTCAGTGGTAAAGCACGGCCAGGCAAATGTGCAATGCTTCCTGTTCTCCGAGGTCTGGTTGTTTAATTTTTCCCGGATTTCAGTAACTTCCCTTAGTTTGACCGAGATGACTGTAATCTTACCTCCACATGTATCCTTACAGATAGTACATTCCACTACCAATTACCTGCCATTTAAAGCAGTTGAATAGATGTGGATTCTTAAAATTCAGAAGCCATTTATAACCAAGATAAAGAGGCCTGCATACTGGAGCTTCGTCCTAGTTCTCTTAGAGCACCTAAGCCCCACTCTACTCTAGCACCCTCCAAGGTCACTGCTCCCTGGTGTGCTTCCCCCACCAGACAGAGCTCCTTGAAGGTGGGCTTCGTTCTTCCTTTGTGTCTCCAGCATCAAGCGTAGTGTCTGACATACAATAAGTTCTTGGTAAGTAAATGTTTGTTAAAAGAATGAATGAATAAAGCTAATTTATGTTATAGTAATTTCAGCCTCTCCCCCAATGGCCTTTCCCTAAATCTTCATCAGCATATGAATGGCCAGCAATTCACAAAGTAGTTCTACTGACTGATCCATCCCTAATCAAACTTTTTCTCATATTTTTTGCAGAATCCCTCCTCCCTTAAGTCCACTTTTTGCAATCTTGGTGAGAAGTTCAAGCTTCAATGAGAAGTTCAAAATTACTTCTGTTAAGGAAACTATGCCTTTTCCTTTTGATTTCATTGAAAACAAGGTGAAATTATTTTACACCAAACTGTTAACTCAAACTATTAGTTGTCTGCTTAATGGAACAGAGAACTGATGTAAATAAATCCAGAGCTTCAGAAGTTACAATGATAAAATAATTTTACATATTGGTATTGACCATCCTAGAAAAATAATAATTTAAAACAGGGATATAGTATATATTTTCATTTTGTTATTTGTTATAAATTATGTTAAAGTTTCAGACATGTTAAATAGGCCTGTAAATAATTATTAGTACAAGTATGTTTCACAAGTTATTTTTTACTTAATAATTAAATTTTCATATGCCAAAACATTCAAATACTGTATATGAGTTATTTATAGGTCTGAATTTGAAGGTACAATGGCAGACTGGTGCTGGAAATGAAAGAATATTCTAGATTTGTTTATTATCTAAGCTGATTTTATCAGAATAGTTTTTCCAAGCCCAAACTAGAGTTATTTGAGTAGTTATTTAACTAACTTCTTAGCAATATAGGAAAAATTCACTAATTAGGAATTAATGTTCTCTGTGGAATAAGAGAAAGTCTGGTCAGACATAATGAAATCTACTTGTAAGCTGTATTTTATATTCATTGTTTTCAAGTCTTGTAGAATGACCACATATAGCAAAGCAACATTCATTTCAAATTAGTGGAATACTATGATACATTTCCTATATGTTTAAATAACCACAAATTACAGTAGTATATATATATTATTAAAATTAATAATAGTTATCATTATTGAACATTTATTATGGGCTTAGCATTATTCTAAGTCCTTTACATGTATTGACTTTTCTTTTCTTTTTTTTAAATTTTTTTTTTTATATCTTTATTGATTTCAGAGAGAGGAAGAGAGAGAGAAAGAAACATCAATGATGAGAGAGTCATTGATCGAGCCCACAACCCAGGCATGTGCCCTGACCGGGAATCGAACCCTGATCGCCTGGATCCTAGGTCGATGCTCAACCTCTAAGCCACGCCCGGCCGGGCTACATGTATTGACTTATTCTTATAGCCCCCTACAAAGCAGGTATTTCATAATTTACATTTTACAGATTGGAAAACTGAGGCACATGGAAGTTATACAACTTGCTCAAGGTTCCAAAAGTTACAAGTGGCAAAGCTAGAACTCATAGTCAGTCTTGCCCTAGATCAGGGCCGGGGAACCTTTTTTCTGCCAAGGGCAATTTGGATATTTATAACATCATTCGCCATCCATACAAAATTATCAACTTGAAAATCACCTATGAAAAAAGCTCCTAGATTTATTGAATTTCAAGTCCCGCCTGCGGTTGCCTTGGCAGGGCCAGATAAATGATTTCTCAGGCCTTATATGGCGGGCCAGACGTTTCCCACCTCTGCTCTAGAGCCTGAGATTCAAACCAGTACCGTATTCTTAGTACTACTAATAATTTAAAATTAATATATAGTATTTAATTTTCTGTATAGACATGTAATTGATATTCCCTCCATGCCACAGAGAAAGGCAATGTTTTGATGGCAGCGATTGTACTGACCTGAGCTTTCACTGCTTCTGTCACTGTACTTGCTGCATCCACAAGGTCCCTTGTCTTTGCAGAACAAACGTCGAGTCCTAACTTTTCAGCACTAACAAATGCATAAAATGCACCACCGTATGCAATGTCCACTACCACCTTTCCATGACCAGGAACATCCACCAGGAGATCTAAAAAAGATGTATTTGAAAATAAATTTTAGTTTAGCAATAAAAATCATAGAATTTTTCATATGTGTGTATTGCCAGGGCGTAGGGCTTCTTCCTATCATAAAGAGGAAGGAACTATTTCCTCTTTATGTTAACTATTAGTCATTTGTTAACTATTTTGAGTATCTTTTTTTCCTGGAAACATCACAGAGGTGGAGAGGAAAACCCTGGGACACCAACGTGTGAAAACTATGAAGGAAAATGTAGTCTCCTCTCATACTACTTGGAATAGTTTTAAATAGTGAGGATTTGGAATCCTGTTCACATATTGGTGTCTTCAGCTCTTAATGTCAAAACAAAATGAAGAGATTTTTCCTATATGTTAAATATACTTATTCACTTATATATTTCATCTCATGAAAGTAACCTGCAGGCAAATACTCAGAATAAAACATTGTAGAATCATTGACCTTTACGGTAGTATTTTGCATCAGGTTTTTTATGAGCACTTTCATGAGCCCGACATACCCAAAGTTTTACCTGAAGGTCAGTTGTTTGAAATCCCAAATTTGTATTTCCAAAGGAATGGGGCTGGATGATATCTCAGGATATTAAAACTGTTTACCCCTCTCCCAGTTTCCTCTCTTCTTCCTCCCCAGTCCAGTGGGCTTGGTGATCACGGCCTCTGGGGGAGGCATGTGGTAGGAGAGAAAGCAGGTTTTGTGGAAAACTAAGACCTTGAGGGGAAAGAGATTTATTGGCAAAGGAGTGTTCTAGATTTTATTTTATTTTTTCCGTCAACATTTATCCCCCCCATACCCTCTTCCACCTCCCCCTCAATCACTACACTGTTGTCCATGTCCATGAGCTTTCTTTTTTTTGCTCAGTCACTCCCCCCACCCTACTCCCTACAGAGCTGTCTGCCTGCTTTCTAAAGGGAGAAATATTTCTCCTGTCAATAGAGAAGTTTCTTCTGGACTGAAAAAAAAGGCTGAAGGTCCTGAGAACGGAGGACCTGTGTTATCTTCCCTACAGCACCTTGGAGAGGCTGCAGGGTGTGACAGACAGCAAGGAGGGAGGCAGGGGCCACATGGAAGGGGACTGATGATGCTTTCCCGGTAACCTGTGCAAGCTGAGGACCAAAAGGCCTTCCTCTCCAAGGCCTTGGTTATTTTCACACATGTATCAGAAAAAAGGGGCAGCAAGTGGAGGGATGAAGCTAAATCAACCAATAAGGCAAAATGGAGTTTCAAATAATTCAGAAATTAAGTTGTGAAAAACAAAGTATTTCTTGTGTTCCTGAGTTTGCACAGTCATACAAAGGTGCCAGTATGCGATCAGTTACAGACCAGCCTCCAGAGCCCTTCTTACACGTGATGTGTCGAAACACAGCAAATTTATCGCCAAAAGGGTGAAACGTGCCTGTGGAACTTAACAGCAAAACTGAATGAAAAAGGTCTTATCTGGATGCTGGTGCAACATGAAAAGCACATATAATGAAAGGAGAATGAAGAATTCAATGGAAGTAAGGGACGCTGGAAAGCTACGGCAAGTGTGGCTTTGGTGTCCTCCTGCGTACATGGAATTGCTGCTGCCTCCCCGGCAAAGGGTTTCTTTTGAGAATTCCATGTGATAACGTGTAGGGAGTCCGTGGCACACATTAGGAGTGCAATAAACGTTGACAGTGAAGCCAGAAGTTTAAGTTCCAATGGGAATAGGACTCTTAAGAGGGCCAGATGGTTACATTTGTCAATCAGCATATTCTCCAAATTTCATTTTAGTTACTCATTCAACAAATGACTACCCAGCGTTCTAGCACGTGAATACAGTGAACAAAACTCAGGAGTCTTCATTTTAGCAGGTGAAGTGGAGGTGGACTCGGCAATTCTCTGAGGTGGGTACTGTTGTCACCTTCATTTTACACACATGACACTGAGGAATAGAATCCCTTTCACAAGGTCACCAAGATGGGGAGGGACAGAGCAGTGATCTTAATTGAACACTGTCAGTCCACCTTTTTTTGTATTTTTCAAAGCAGAGAATTCGGGATTTCATTTTCTTAATGACTCAAAGTGACCATTAACACTCACTGATTACTGTCCAGTCATACAGTGATGTTCTCAGGAACTACTGAGCCTATGGGGCTGGCTGCCCCTGCCATCACCAGCCCAAATTGAGGTGGTGGTGGTCCTGCTGCCTGCTGTCATTCCCACAAAATTTAAGAGTGCTTCCCATCTGCTGCTGGGGCGGCCTAGATGCCTAGTTACACTGTTGAGGTTTTTGAGATGCAATTCTAAACATAAACTCCCACCTCCCTTAAGTGCCCTCCCAATGCAGATGTGACACCATTCTCCCATAAAGGGGAAAGCAGCATCAATGTGCTCTAAAACGGAAAAATGCCTGGGCAATGATGGCATTACTCAGAATCAGGCTAATCTGGAATCCAGGTCCTAGAGGACGATCAACATCGAACTAGCAGAATGATGGGAATGGCTTGACGACTTTGGAAAAAAAGGTGATAACTCTGTTTCTGGCTGGACTAAATCAGCTCCCGGCTTGCTTGCAGTCAGGACTACTGAAGCATTCTCACTGATAGAATTCAGCCCTCGGAGGGACTTCCCTCACGGTGATAGTCATTAGACAGCTGTTTGGCATGACATACAGGTTCTGCACTAGGGAACCCACCAAAACCTTCTGAAGGCTCAGCACACCTAGGGAACTAACTAGTAACCTTATGTATTCTGTAGTCTGTCTGCAGGAATATACATATATATTTAAATTCTGTAGTCTGTCTGTAGGAATATACATATATATTTATATTCTAAGTAGTGCCTCACACACTCTCATTTACTCCTCACAAAAAACCCCAAAACTCAATGAGATAACACATGAAGAAGCACAGAGAGGTTAAGTAATTTGACTAAGGCTGCACAGCTTTACAGAGTTGTCAGGCTTTGAACCCAGGCAAAGTCTGTTCCCGTTTTTAAAGAATAAGAGCGGCGACATCCGTACTTTGAAGATTTAAATTGCTTAGTTCATTTTCATTTAATTCTCCCACAAGAAGAGGGGAAGCACTTTTTACAGATGAGTTTCAGTAACTTGCGTTCAGTAACCTGCCCGAGGGCACCGTGTGCCCAGCGAGGGCGCTGAGCCAGCCTGGGCCCCGGGTCACTGGCTGCTCTTTGCTCCTTGCCCGGCCCTAGCGGACTCTGCGTTGCCGGGT